AACGCCTAAACCCTAAACCCCTAAACCCCTAACCCCTAAACCCCTAAACCCCTAAACCCCTAAGCCCCTAAAGCCCTAAAGCACTAAACCCTAAACCCTAAAGCCTTAAGCCCTAAAACCCTAAACCCTAAACTTATAAACCCTCAAACCCCCAAGGCCCGCACCTCCATGGCCTGGGACCCACCCATGTCGTCAAACCTTAAGAGTAGCCCCAGAATAACTCCTTGGAGCCCAGAAAGCGCACCCATAAAGCCCAGAAGTCGCACCCTTAGAACCCAGAAAGCGCCCCCGCAAAGCCCCGAAAGCGCACATCCCTGAACCCTAACGCCCTGAAGCCAAAAAGGCTAAACCCTAAGCACTCAACTAACCGAAAAGCCAGAGGAGGCCCACCTATGTCGGAGCCGTTGGGTCAAATACCGATCTCTGAGCCCGTGGGGCCAATGCACTATCCCGCGACATGGGGCCAGCGGTGACGGGGTTCTAGGGTTGATACGACTGATGATACAACTTCTTGCATTACCCATAATAAGGAATATACCATCATTCCCATAGTTTAGGGTTCTTAAGGTAATTCAGGGTTTCTATCATCAACAGTAGGTTCTAGATTCTAGACTGAGTCACTTAGTCTGTAGGGTCTTTAGGTCGGGATTGAGAGTTTGGAACCGGGGGTTGCTCGATTTGGCGCTTGGGGTTCGGGTTTTTGGGGGCGAGGATTTGCATTCTTCGGGTTCAGAATTTAAGAATTTAGGGTTTAGGATATAGGGCCTGGGGCAAGCTGGGTCTAGATGAACGTCTTCGGTCTGTCAAGCCTCTGAATTCCTGCACATGCCTGCGCGAAGTTGTAGTGATGAGCGGTAATACTTACAAAGTCATCATAGTCGCAAGTCAAGGTAAGAAGAAGTGTAACCATTGTAGTTACTGCAGTAGTGTGCTCTCGCACGCCTCGTCACTTCTGTGCGATTTGCAGACTCGTTCTGCGCTGAACGACTGCACGTCACAAGCAGAACGTCGTAATCCTAGTATAGACGTCCGAACAGTTGTTGATATCTAGTTAGAGTGGCTGGATAGTTGAACTATGCCAACCCAGGTCTCATTACTCAGTTCCGACGGTACACCCCTAAGACTCTGGACGCCTGGGAAATGTGTAAGACACGAAAGTTCAACATACCTTGGACCGGCAAGTTATGCAACTTCCAATCGTAACTGGCCGTAAACCTGATACCGCGGGCAAGACCTTTCCTCGACCTCCCGGCTGATCAACACTCAGCCTTCTGTATCCAGAAGCCGTAAATCTTGAAAATTTGACCTCCGAAACCATAAAACCCCATGAACCCTGCCTAGAGGGCCCTGTCTGTGTCACCGGATTGAAGATTCTGCATGACGGCCTCACGTGGCAAAATAAAGTGTAGAACTACTACTATGAATTAGGCACTACGGAGCATTCCTTCAATCAGGAAGTGTATCATGGACATGAATCCTGAACCGTGAAATAGCATTGAAAGGAGGGGCTCAGCCTTACCTTCGCATGAAAGCTTCATCGCCCAAAAGAAGGTATCCTTAGCTCTAAGCCATTTCAACCTGGAGCCGCAGCGCACTTTGAATCCTGTATTACATCCTTTCAGAACCAAATCCTAATGGGAGAAGCGGGCTTCAGAAATCCGGACCAAAACGCAAGCCTGGAAACGTTTCCGGTTTAGGGTTCTTCGTGCTTTAGGGGCACAGAGCTGATATTGTTCAGTGTTTTGACGTTGCGGTTTAAAGGCTAATTGACCTTTCTGCAACCCAGAAGCTAGTTCTGGGTGTAAGCTTTGGTGTTCCTGCCGCTACCCATGAACCCGGAAGCACGGTTCAGGCTCTTGATTTTGGGATTTCAGGGTTTTCAACAGAGACTGTGCATCCTATTTGCTCACACTGCTATGTACCTGTTTTGACGGGTAGGCCTCATAGGAACTGTCCGTCCCTTCAACCCTGAACCGACTGCAACCCTAAACCCTAACCCCTAAACCCCTAAACCCTAAAACCCTAAACCGTGCGAAAAGTTCCACTGGCGCTCCGTCATGCAAGCACTGCAGCCCGGCTCGCACATCTCGCAGCATCGGTTTTTCCCAGGATAAACGCTTCGGGACAATCCTACATTTTGGCGGGGGTTCGTTCCTAAGTCTGAGAAAGCCTCCCTGGGGATTTTCAGCAATTAGCAGGGCATCAATTTCGACCCCAAACAAATTGGAAGTTTGATCTTTACTTGCTCTTAGGATCCCCCAAATAGCTTGGCACCTAAACCCTAAACCCTAAACGCCTAAACCCTAAACCATAAACCCTAAACCCTAAACCGTAGTTTACATTGTTGGTCGAGTCTGGGCTTCCTGGCTAGAGCCCCAACCCTCAAGAATGGACTTCAACGGTGACGGCCAAAGCAGCACCGAAACATAAGGTTCTTGCATGTGGGGGTAGAAGCGTCGCATAGAAGGCGGATTCCTGATGACATTGTGTGGGAGATCCTTAGGCTCACGGTTTAGGGTTTAGGGTTTAGGGGTTTAGGGTTTAGGGTTTAGGGGTTTAGGGTTTAGGGTTTTAGGGTTTTAGGGTTTTAGGGTGTAGGCTTGTAGGGTTTTAGGGGTTCAGGGTTTAGGGTTTAGGGGTTTAGGGTTTAGGGTTTAGGGTGGCTTCTTATAAGCGTGTAGAGGGCTTGTTGCGGTGATCTAGAGTACTGCTTATTCGGGGGGTCGGTCGCTTTCTGGGTTTTTCCCTGGGCCCTTTTTGGAAGCCCAAGGTTCAACCTTAAACCCAGAGACTCCAATATCCCTTAATTAGGGAATATACCTTAAATTATAATTGGATCCCTAATAAGATTTAAGGTATATTCCTTAATTAAGGGATATTGGAGTCTCTGGGGTCTCTCCCATGAAAACTGGTCTTCAGCAACTGCTCTCCTGAGCTTCACGTCCGACATCCGATGAGGATTGAGGCATCAAAGGAGACTGCTCCAGTCAGGTCTCCGGTTCAGGTTGAACCGGAGACCTGATCCCCGGAGAGGTCAAAGGGGCACCTGGCGCATGGATAAACCCTAAACCCTAAACCCTAAGCTGAGCTTCCGGCTGGACCTCCATGGCCACTGCAGGGAGGGGTACAAAGGTGCGACGCCACAAAAGCTCGAAGCCAAAAGCTTCGAAGGGGAATTTGCTGGGCAAAGCCGCGCACCAGTCTCTGCTGCATCCTTAGTGACTAAGGATGGGTATTATCACCCGAAACGGGCAAAGGCTCCGCAAACTTCTTTTGGGACTTCAGGTCGTACTCTCCCGAGACTGCCATAACAAGAACGTTCTCGTAGTAAGAGCTACAACACTTGTGATGCGCATCATCGTCGCAAGAACCAGTCGTAGTGATAGTAGGGCGCTCGTCTCGTGTGCAAAGGAGCTTCGGCTCTCAGCGTTTGGAGCTGTTAGGGTTCGAGGGCCTTGGGGTTTCAAAGCCGTCTCCCGACAGCTTAGGCTCCTTTGGAGTGTGCTCCCTTGCGGCCGCATCGTGATGGCCCGCCAGACGATCCTCTGGTTTGTTCTTCTGGCCGTGTAGCACTACGAAAACCGTGTAAGTACCATTCGAGGTGCCTTGCTGAGGAAATCTCTGGGGATGGCTCCCAGTGGCTCCACATTTCTCCACCAAGCCGCATGAAAGATCTGAAACAAGTCTGGCAACCGGCCACCGAGCTCCCTGGCACCCCCTGCAGCGGTGTGTGCACTGCGGAAGTACCAAGGAACTCGTGCCTGCGCAGTGCTGCCTCTGACTAAACAGAGGTCTAGCTGCCAGCATGGCACTTCAAAGCGACCCTGAACTAGGGGCTTTTTCAGGGCAAAAAACTCTAGGCTCTGAGCTATCAAAGGGCTGAAGACTCAAAATTGGGAACTCGTCGACCAGTGTGCCATGCAGCGGCCCATGCCCAACATCTTAATTACGCTCCCTGCACCTTTTTATGTACAGGAAGCTGCGCGAAGAAGCCGGAGCATCACAAGCCCAAGACAACACAGAGACATTCACACTCAAAAATTCTGTTCCCGAATAGACACTCCCCCTTGCCGCTTCGTGCCTGTTGCTTATTGGGATGAGCAAAGTCCTCCTTGAAACTGAGAAATCATTCGGTGACCTTCCACACATGCACCTTGCGGCCGCCAACGCAAACATCCTTTTCCTTGGCGATGCGAGGGCTGAAAGGGTTCCTAGATGACTTTGGAATTCGAAGGCTACCAGTGCCTGCTGCCGGGAGGGCTTCTGGCCTCGCAGAGACTAGGCCAGTAGCTTTGAGATTGCTGTAGTGATGGACTGCTATCATGGAACCTCAAAGGGCTCGATGAAACTCGATATCGCCCTGCTGAGACCCACATCGAAACCCTAGAGCCCCCGCCAAGCACCCTATACCTTTTACATGGCCCTCAGACAGCTCGAAAACACCGATGCCTCCCCCTGAATTCTGAAAACCCTATTACCATAAGGCCCTCGACTTTCTTGATCGCCGACTAGAGGCCTTGTCGTCGCTGAGCATCGAGGCCCAGGCACTCTTTGCTGTGGCGCCCAGGTCCATGTCGGGCTTGTCCTCCTCTGAGTTCGGGGCTTGGGGCTTTGGCGTTTTAGGGGCTCTTTTTTGGGCTTTTTTGGGACGGTTCTCCGAAGCTTGTCCTCCCGTCCTTCTGTTCCCTCCAACGGTTTGGGCTAAATGAACTGCCACTCGAGGGCTTCAGGGTCTGGGGTTCATATATGGGCCACACTCATTTCCAGACGCTGTCCTCCCCCAAAAGCCTGTCTGGATTCATTGCGGGTTTGGTGCCTAGTCTGGGCCATCGTCCTGGGTTTGGTTTAATGGAAGTTTGGGGCTTGCAGTTTCTGACACCAGGATAAGGATTTCTGCCTCGAAGACAACTGCATAAGCCCTTCGTTCATGGGTCCAACACATCGGGGATGTCATCCAATCTGGAAAAGTGATCATGACAGAGGGAACCCTGAACAACCCCTTGGGGTTTCGGGCGTCGCCCAAGAGGGGTAATTGATGCTTCGTCTTCTTCTGCTCTGCCGGAGCTGCCTCCTTGAACATCTTCTTCTCCTTCTGGTCGTCGCCCGTCAAAGCACCGGAGAGGGCACCCATGAGGTTGCCCGCATGGTGGGAGAGCCCATCCATCACATGCTGGCCCATTTCCTTCGCAGACTTCTTCTCGCACTTCACCTGTCTTGCAAGTGGCCCATAATTACAAGAAGCTTTAGTCATCACTCCTTGCAACACAAGGAACAACTGCACGGGAGATCCTCACAGCAACTCCTCTGACCAGCACCCGCTCAAAAGACCTGAACCAAACCCTACTGCTCGACATTCCGGCTGCCCATCCTGACATCATCCTGTCGAAGAACGATTCCGTTTTGCCCCTTTGAAAGAAGTGGCCTCCAAGTGTCTTAAAATCGCATGCGCGTGTGGCAGAGCGTGTATATGTGCAACTATATAACTTGTTCAATGAATAAACAGCTAAAGCTACAACTATATAGATATGGACACACACATGTCAATACATGTCAATACGTGTATATGTGCATACAGTATCCACTTGCAGTTGCATCTCCGTGCAGGTATAGTATGGTATGGCCATGCCAATCAAAATGCAGGGCCAAGAAAAATAGGAGCGCTTCAAACCGAGTCGCTTCGTAGCACTTGTTGAAGAGGCCGACCGTGGACACAGGGCAGGTGTAGCCCCAGCCGTGCTTGAGGATGTTGAGAGACTCACCGTCCATCTTTGCCTTTGGCGCGGTTTTTTCCCTCCATCACTTGATTTGGAGGGGCCCCTGGGGTAATCGCAGTTGGAAGGGTTTAGGCTTGGGGTTTAGGGGGCTCCGGTCATGTGGAACTCACGGCGGCGTCTGGAGTTGTCGTGAAGCGAGTCGCTCACCAGCTTCGAAACACCTACTCAAGTTACTCATCATCCCTGACCTCAACTAGCAACGCTGACAACGATCGTGCAAAGCAAATCACATAAAAAAAATGCAGGGTACCAACCATGACCGCCGTCATGGTCAGCACCTGGTGACGACGCAACAAGAGCTACGACCTACGACAATCAGTTGCCCTCAACCCTGCATCAAGCCCTTGAACTACATCCTCAAGTATGCTTAACCTTAGAACTTCGAACCCAAACTCTAAGCCCCCCCCCACCCCGCACACAAAAAAAAAAATAATAAAAATATATATATATATATAGATATAGATATTTTTCTGTATATACCCGAAAGCCTACACCTGAGCTTGAACTTTTCAGCATCCCAGGCACATCGTTCACGGAGACGCACAAGGGAAAGCCCTTTTCCTGAATCACGTCCTGGAGGCTCTAGGGCTCAGGGTCTGCCTGTGGTTTGGGGATTTTTTTTGGGGGGGGTCTAGGGTTTAGGGAAGGCATGTGGGTTACGGTTTAGGGTTTTCTCATGATTGAGGGTTCAGGGTGTAGGGTCGGGTTTAGTGGATCAAGTGTCACTGGAGGTGCTCCTACACTGAATTTCGTGCATCATGACTCAGTCATGACCTTCAAAGCCCAGTCCAAAATCTGCCTAGATCCTAAATGCGGTTGTTCCTTAGACATAATCATAATGTTCGCTAAGCCCTAAGCTTTAAAATCTAAATCCCTAAACCCTAAACCCCTTTCCCTTACCCTCTAAGGACTCATATTTTCAGGCTTTTGGGCCCAAAGACCCTATTTATATGAGGCTTTTGGGCTATTTTGATACCAAGCCCTTAACCTTAAACCCTAAACTAACTAAACCCTAAACCCCTTTGGGACTTAGACTTTCAAGGTGGGTAGCATGCTTCCATCCGTAGGGGAAGCAGCGTGTTTTCGCGTCCGTCGTCCGTCAACCCCAACATCCACGCGCAAACTCCATGGGTCTCTGTGTGCGTTTAGGGGTCAGGGTGGAAAATTTGCTCCGATCCCAATAACCTAGTACCCTTTTTTTTCGGGTTTTGATCAAGAATTCCTGCATAGAGGCCTCCATTATAACTCCTGGCTCCGGCGATGTTTGAGGCGAGAAGGAAACAGGGCTTCCGTGCCGAATCAGCAGATGGTATGGTATGGTATGTATGTTATGTATGGTGTATGTATGCTATGTATGGTATGTAAGGGATGTAAGGGATGTAAGTGTGTATGTGTGTATGTGTGTATGTATGTATGTATGTATGTATGTATGTATGTATGTATGTATGTATGTGTGTATGTGTGTATGTGTGTACGTATGTATGTATGTATGTATGTATGTATGTATGT